TGCTTCTGAACAATCTTAGAAAATGCTTTTCAGCGACACCAGCTTGAGAAATGCCGCCGTTTCGAGCACATACCGCCGTACCAGGCGGAGAAACTGCTGAACAGTAGCCACCAGCTGCGAGCGCCTCCTCACGGGCCTCACCTCGGCGGAGAAAAGGAGTTCGGCCCGGCGATGCTGCTGTACTACTTGGCCAGCGCGTTTAAACACCTGCAACCTCGCGTCGACGACGACTTCGTCGACAAGCTACACTACTTCTATACGACGACCATCCTCGTCTCGTTTGCCATCCTCGTCAGCGCCAAACAGTACGTCGGCTTCCCGATTCAGTGCTGGGTGCCGGCGACGTTCACCGACGCCATGGAGCAGTATACGGAGAACTACTGCTGGGTGCAGAACACGTACTGGATCCCGATCGAAGAGGAGATACCCCGTGAAATTTACAACCGCAGAAACCGCCAGATCAGCTACTACCAGTGGGTGCCGTTCGTGCTGGCGTTGGAAGCTCTGCTGTTCTACGTACCATGCATTATTTGGCGCGGTCTGCTGTACTGGCACTCAGGTGAGCTAACTGTTGTTACCGCAAAGCTGTAGGTAGATATGAATGAATTTATTATATGAATAAATATATTGATGAATTATATTTTGTTATATGCGATGATGCTGCACGAAGTAGAAGTCTGATTGAACACGACTAATCAGTGATTACAACCTCCAAAGTTTCGACCGTGTACAAATGGTCTTTCTCACCAGTTCTGTACAGTGAGATTGAACATCGCATCAGACACTTTTACGCAATGTCCGTGCATTTCTATCAATGCAATGATATTTAGTTTCAAGCAGGATCACTCTGTCTGGCCCTACTCAAATTTTCAATGGCACTTCGCAACGCTCCACACTCCTGTAACGGTCTTGTCCGGGTCAAAAGGTATGGAAACAGGAGGAAAACATTCAAGTGTTACTTTCGACCGTGATTCCATTGCATACTTTGTTCCAAAAGCTAAATGACACGCGTAATAGTAATCTTTGTCGACGTCCTGATCCTTACACAACAGACAGTCCAAGAACATTTTGGCATTGTTCAATATCTGGAAATGGCCAATACATTTCCAGCAACGTATGTCCGTTTTTCCTCATGTGCCGGTTTGTCCATCGAATTTTAAGAGGGCAAGACTCCTTTTCTGTCATGCGGTAGCTGGCCAATCAGCCTCAGAACTACAGTAGTTTTATCTTGTTGTACAAACCGTGCCGGAGGGAAGGGGTGTGCAGGCGCGCCTAAGGCACAGCGCGGGAAAATACCAATATAAACTAGCATAAAGTTGGTTGTCGACATTAATCAGCTTGTTGCGATGAGTAATTGATCCACTTCCGGATGGCAATGAAACGATGACGGATGATTCCTTCCGTCTCACGTGTCATACTCGTTTATATTTACTTATCTGTTTATCTATTACAAACTGTTTATTTTCCCTATCATTATATTTTGCTTTATTCGTTTTCTCGTTCCCATTTTCTATTTCGTTATTTTTTCTACCTTGTCTTTCATCCTACCCTTTTCATACTCCTTCTCCCAGTAATTTTACATATTCATACCTTTGTCATTTTAATTACACCCCATGAAATGTAACACAAGTGATATTAACATCAGTTCTGCCAAGTGTTAATCCGCTACAGCATTTGTCTCAAAATCCTGACTGTTCCTGGCAGCGTCGCCTTCTGCAGTTCACCCACCTTGATCGCTTCATCACTCGAATTCAGTGTGGTCTCTTCTTACTGCTGCTGGGTCATCGGTCATCGCTGGAATACTGATCAAACTCATTTACGGATCGACTTTACTCTCGTGTTTTTTTTAATTTCCGTTTTTAATTCCTTTTCCTCCCTTAAAGAAACGTTGCCATCAACAGACATGTTATATCAGTGATTTTGGTACCCTTTCTGCTTTGATAACCGACACCATATCTGGACGATCAGCTGATGTTTCTATCTCAGTTCGTATTGGGAGGTCCCAGAGTGTTGTCATTTCCTCAGTCTCCTCCACCGCTTTCAGCTGACGTCTCCACCATCACTTTTCCACTCAGA